TTTTATAGATCTGAGTACTCAGAAATCCTGTTGCACAAATTGATAAGTGGAAATAAAAGGATGTTAGTTACAGTAGCCAGTCACTTGATTATCTGAAATCCTCTAGGGTTTTGGCCAAAAGTCACACAATGATGTCTAGATTGAGTATTTTTTTAATGTACCAGAAGCTACAAGAATCAAGTTAGAGACCATCACCCAACTGGGAAAATGCTTTGTTACTCTGGTTATCAAGTATCTGTCAACAATGAACAATACTTGATAACCTTAATACTATAATACATAATACTAATACAGTAAATTTTTAGCTAAATACTAGTACCATATTTAGAATGTCTGTTGCTTTGGAAATCAAGATGATTTTATATTACACAGAAAAATAAGATTAAGATGGGGGGGTGCATTTTTCCTTCCAAAGTGGGAGAAAGTTTATTGTGCAAAGGAAGAAAGTGCAAAACAATCAGGGTCAGTGACTACTTTGCAAAAGGAGGTGACAGATGGAAGCAGGAATCTGGAAGATGACTCCTTCAAAACTACTAGTGACCACAAATCCCTGGAAATTATTTGTCTGACTAGAGGATATGAATTCCTTGGCTTTCCTTCTGTGAGACACTGAAAGAAAGAAAAAGAAAGAAAGAAAGAAAGAAAGAAAGAAAGAAAGAAAGAAAGAAAGAAAGAAAGAAAGAAAAGATTCTGTTTCATGAAACTGTCTCAGGGAATGGGCTGAAGGAAATATGGCTGCCAGAAAGTAGGGGCCCACTTCCTGCAGGCGGAGAGGAAGTGAAGCACATACAGCACTACAAAGTATCTCCAGCCATACTGTGTACACCAACCACACACCTTCGTCCGCCAAAGGAGATGATAAGAACATCTCCCCCAAGCGGTCAGTTGTAAAGCAGAAAGACAGGCCAATCCTTAAAAGAGCACCAATCCAAGGTAAGGCAGTGGGTGGGGTGTGTGTGTGTGTGTGTGTGTGTGTGTGTGTGTGTGTGTGTGTGTGTTGTATATCTGAACAAAGTTCCTTCTGCACTAAAGATGAACTTTTCAGAAATGTCTCCCAGCTTCTGCTGGTCAAGAGTGAGTACTACAGGGTAACCACCACCAATCTATTTTACCTGGATAAGGGCCAGGCTGAAGAACCAGATGAAAATACAAATTGTTTTTAAAAAGAGCTTATAATACACACTCTAAATGGGAGGAAAGTCTTACTGTGAAAGAACTGCAGTTTGGAGAATGAGGTCTGGAAAACAGGTGGTGGTATGAAAGCTAGATTTCACAAGTGGTGTGACTGACAGGGTGAGGGCTCTACTTAAGACCATAGTACCCCTCTGTCTGATTTCCGTGACAAAGAGAATGAAGGTTTCTCAGAGACAATGTCTAAGGCTGGGGCACTGATCCCAAGTGCCTTGCGCAGGACCTTGTCAACTCAGGGCTAAGTAAGAACACAGGAAAGCACACCAGCAAGCACACCAGGCCAGCAGGCAGGCTCCTTGGCATCGAATTGCAAAATGAACACACACATATAAAAAGCAATTAAATTCTTAAACTCTAGCATCCAAAAAAAAAACCAACAGTCTGTTGGATTTAACTCCTAAAGTAAACGACAACTACCAAGAAATGAACTACTGTAGCTCTGTGGTACTAAAAGAGCCGCAAAGGCCCTATCAACTGTGGTCTTAAGAGGATCAAGGACAAGAAAAGCAGAGGAGACAGCTGGCCAGACCAGATATGTGGTCTGCAATGTGCTGGGTAGTAAGTATCCCATTGCCTGAACAGGAGCGTTGGTTGAAATGGCCTGCTTTACACCCAATTCTATATTGTATATGCATACACTTTTAAATTTTTGTTTTACTTTTTACTTGGAGATAGGACCTTGCTAAGCTGTCCATGCTAGCCTGGAGCTCACAATCCTCCTGCTCAGCCTCAGAGTACTGGGGATTACAGCTACGCACCATGGTTCCCGGCTATACACACTTTAACTTATAGACCACTGCTATTGGTCTCAGACTTCTAAACTTCAGAACTGTGAGAATAAATTTTTGCTGTTTAACCCAACCAGTTTGTACTACTCAGTCATGGCAGCTCTGGCAGACTAATATTGATGATTCAGTGGAGAAAAAGAAATAGTCTATCCCTGGATGACATCTTTAAGCTACTATTATGGCTTGTGTCTAGATTTCTACCCAAAGCCCCATGCAGTCATAGGTGGGGCTTTTTCAAAGTTGGCTGGATCTAGAGTGTGATTGATTCATGGTGCAATGCTGGAATTAAGGGCATGTGATTACTAAATTAATCCACTTACTGGTTTGGCACTGTCCTAAAGCCAGTAGCCAAGAGTATAAAGAGGGCAGAAAGATGCTGTTAGGGTCCCTTGTTTTGCTACCTTCTGCCCACCATAAATATTTCTTCTCTGCAATGCTCCTCTGCCATGCCACCCTGCTTAGGAACCAGCTGATGGTGGACTGAAACCTCTACAAACTGTGAGCTAAATAAACCTTTCCTCCTTTAATTTTGAAATTCGGGGATTTTGTCTCAGCAATAAGTCACTAAAACAGCTGCCAAACAAGCCCTCTTCTCGGGTTTCTGTGAGAAAACAAAACAGAAAAAACCCTTTGGTTTAAGCCACCATCAGAGATTTTTTGTTAAGTGCACCTAGTATACTCTGGTAAGTAAATACTTTTGCAACAATCTTAAGCAACAAATAGGATCTTGATGGGTGCAGGTAGGAAAGAATGCACGAGCAAAATCCCAGCACAAAGCAGGCAGTGAAGTCCAAGTCCCACTTAGGGAATGCAGTAGACCAGAAAGCCAGTCTAAAGGTCTTGGGAAAGGAAGAGAATTCAGAATAAGGCATCTGCAGGGTCTGGAAGTAGGCTGAGGAGAGTGTTTAACAATGTTCTCAAGTTCCTCCTCTGGTAGTACGCAATACTGGATATTTCACAAAAGGGAACAAAATGCTCATAGCGGGATGTTAGTAGTATGGACTGAAAGGGGGAAGGCCAGAGACAGAAAGATTCGCTAGGATCATGTGATGATATAATAAGTAACTGAGCTTTTATTATGGACATGCAACATGCTATGGTTTGTGTCTGTGTGTCCCCCCAAAGCCTCATGAGGTCATGGGGCAGGCTTTTAGAGTTTGACTGATTATGGGTATGAGAGTTACACCCACCCTGGGGTGGATAGTTTGCATATGTAAGGGAGAGGAAGAGGCTGCTTGGGGCCATTCCTCCCTTTTGGTGCTTGTTGCTTTTGCTGTGTTCTGCCGCCATGAGCTACAGCCCTCTGCCATGTGCCACTCTGCCTTGTAACCTGCCAAGTACGGACTGAAACCTCCCCCAACTGTAAGTGAAATAAACCCTACCTTCCTTAATTCTGGGCATCAGGTATTTTGTCCCAGCAACGAGAGGAAAGTAACCAAGACACAACAGGAAACGGAAAAGCAGGGTCAGCATGAGACACGGAAGAGGTGGACAGCAGTGCCAGAAGGGGAGGCAGTAACGTCACCCCAACGCTTCCAGCCTGAGTGGGCAAAGAATTGCGATTACAGGCAATGGGCTCGCCCGGGGAGTTTATCAATCCTGACTCCTGAGTCCCATCCCTTGGAGATCCGGTTGAATTCATGGAAAACCACAGGGGAGATGGGGGAGGAAGAGAGGAGGGAGGAAGGCCGGGGGTCGCACGGGCTCTTTCAGAAGCAGCCCTGACAGTGCAGGTTCTCCAGCTTGACTCATTTTAATTCATTCTTTCAGGCCTTCATCCCACAGCCACTTCTGACCTTCCATGCTATGCCAGGCACCGCAGTGGTACAGAGACCACAGAGCCCAGGAAGCAGCGCACTTGTCTGCCCCAGGGCACTTATACTCAGCAAGCGCATTTTACGCTTTATGAATCGCTCCAAATCTACTTGCCTGAGTTTTGGTTTTTTATCCAAACAGAAAATGAAGAAGAAAACACACAAACATTGTGCTGTCAATCTTAGGTAAAAAACACATTCCTTTTTTTCTGTTTGGGAGGAAAAAAGTTTTATAGGAAAACAAAAATCAGGGAAGACCAAAACAAAAAGATTATGATATGTTGCCATATCTGGTCACATTAATTTGTTTTATATTTGTTAAGCAGTGAATTTTTTAAAAAAAATAGAAACTAATGGACTGTAATAGGAATGCTTGCCAGAAAGAAACGCATTCAATAATTAATTCACACTTTCCAATACTTTATGGCCTTTCTCAAGTTCAACTTCACAGGAGACATATGACACTAATGTAAAATATTTAACCTAAAGTTTTCCAACTAAAATGCATTTAGAAACAGAGTTAGTAGCTAGAAATTGCACCAATAATTTACCAAAGTCAAAGGTAAACTTGTCTTTCAAAAATTACCTAGTAGTCAATTCTTTTGGTTGTTAAAAGAAACACATTCTGGTTCCTTCAGAGCTCTTTACTAGTCCTACCAAGTACAGGCAGGGGCAGGGGGAGAGAAATTCTGCAGGCCCAGACAGTGTCTCTGTGGTGGAGGACTGGGACGAGGATAGGGAAAGAGTGGTTACGCAGGACAAGTGTGACGTTAGGAAAACGTGAATGTTTTCAGATAACACAAAATCAATAATGTATGAAACTCAAACTCCATCCCAAATAAATGAATGTATTTAAAAATCCTAGCCAGCTTCAGCGGCATACAGCTCTGTAACCCAGGTACTGGAAGGCTGAGGCAGAAGGATCACAAGTTTGAGGTCAATGTGGAAAACTTAGAAAGACTTCATCTTAAAAACAAAACAAAACAAAATACAACAAAGCAAAGCAAAACAACCAAAGCCAAACACACACACACACATACACATAAAAGCTTGACTCAAATTGCTCTCACACGATTAACACTGGCATGTGATTTACTCTTTTAAAAGGCAGGCACAAATTAACTACCTTTAATAACAATAGCTACCAATTTCCCTAAAGAAATAAGGAGAATACCCAACACAGCGATACAAACACAGGAGCACTCACTCGTGGTGCTGCGAGTCGGGGGAGAAGTAGACTATCTTCTTGTTACTGACCGGGCCTGGAGTCGGCACCTGCAGGAGAGGTAAGACAGAGCACAAGTCACAGACTGGATTTTAGAAACACAGTGGATAATGGGGGCGTCTCTGATTCTAAATGATTCTCCATTCCAAGGTGGAGAAACGGCGTTAATTCTTACATCCAAGACAAGACTGCACAGACCAAAAGTGTAATTTAACTCCTGGTAAGAATGGCCTCTCCAGTACAGCACATTTCCTCTGCTGGAATTGAAAGACTCATGAAAGCACCTTTACAACAACGTAAACATTATTTTTAACAAACAGCCCAGCGATTGTTTCCAAATCCTGCACGTATATCTAATTGTACATGAAAATAAGGCTTCATTTGATAGACCACTGTGGAGCAGATGACATCTCTGTGAAAGAATGTATTGCAGTTAATTTCTTAACATACATAATAGGTATTACAAGGGCCAAACTTCAATGCAGACAAGAACTTAGGTCAAGGAGATGCTGAATAACGCTTTGTTTTTCTCTGTGAACTTAGTAATTGTTTGTGTGTAAGAGTGAAGCCTTATTTCACGAAGGAGAACAATATTTTATTCCTTCATCTCTAAATATCGTTAGACACCTGATAAAGAATAGTTCAAATACTTTCTTGATAACATTTGCCACTTTAATTTCTAAAGAATCTCACAATATTCCTCTGTTACAGGAAGGTTCTCCAAGGGGACAAAGCACAGTACTGTGCCCCATGAGTCTGCCATCCCAGGGGCAAGGCACAAGCTTACAGCAGCACCTTCAGTTATGCTTTGGTGCAATGAAAAGGCACTGCTATTTAATTGTATTGGTGCCATTTCAACAGGTAAAAAATGAAAAGGCAGTAAAATGCCTCAAAGAGACACATTTTCAGAAACTTGTTTCTTCCTCTGTTCTTTGGGTAGCAAGCACTCTGGCACGTTCTCTGGAATTCAGAGAAACACAAGGCCGGCAAACGGGCATAGACGACGACAATAACAAGCCTCCGGCTGGAGCTCCGCAGGTAAACACGGGCTCCACTGCAGGACCACATCCCGCATTCTTCTCGGAATGCGGTTTCCACGCTATTCCAGCAGGTATCCCGGGAACACGGTAATCCATTTTCTACACCGTGGCTGTGCGAAAAGCCGACTGAACCTATGTCATGCTTTGTTAGAGGTTCATGATCACATTATCTCATGGCGGACCTGACACTTTTATTCAGTTTACAGTATGCTCTACGTACAGGCAACTTATTTCCTTTGCCAGGGCTGCTGACAACCTTTTCCACACTATATTAATCTTGTTTACTGACTTTATCTCGGTACAAATATCAGAAAACTGAACTTTTTATCTCAGAGAAAAAAATAAACAACGTGTTGACAGAAGCAGAAGCTATTTTCAGGACTAAAATTGCTTGTTTACTTGAAGCTATACTTACAGAAAAATGTTTAAGTTTTGCTCAGGCTTGAAATACATAATTTTAAATTTAATAAATGTAGAAATTTCACATACACCCATGTGATAAATTGCCTGATGAAAACAATGCAACTGAATACAATAAAACAGAATTTATAACTAATTTATAGCATAATACAAATGTAAGCTTTCAATCTAGTCAGAAATAATCACACTGTGTATTTCTCAGAAATCCTACCTATGTCTAAAATAACTACCCACTCAATTCAATTGTGGCAAATAACTCACAGTAGATTTACAGTATCAAATGTAGTTATTCAAATGGTTTTATATATTTACCTAGCAATGGCCTTTAAACAACAGAAGGGGTTATCCATTCTTTCAAGTTGATTTTGGTTTTACTTTTGAAGACACACAAAAATAGGCACAGTCAGCTTCGAATTTTTTAAAATGAAAGAAAGCAACATTGATATCTAGTCATGATTATTTTAGAAGGGGCAAGGGCAATGGCCCCAGTCCACCTCAATAGAAAAATGATATTCTAGTGGGAATCAACCTTACCTAAAACCTGAGGATATCTTTAATGGAGAATTCAGCTTGTGAAAAGTAGTGCTTCCTAAAGTTTGAGTATATTTTAAACTTTAAACTAAGTGTTTAACACAATTATTAGGAGAAACCTTCAAGGTATTATTAACTCCAAGAAACATATTTAAACAACCCCTATAAAAATTTATAACTGTTTCATCAATCGTGGGTAGATATTTATAAACAATAAATATTTATTGTTATTTTTATAACAATATTTATAAAAATAAAAAGTACTTCTCAACATATTCATTTCTCTTTCTTCTTGCTTTGTTTCCATTATTGTTTTTTCAGTACTGGGTGTTGATCCCAAGGCCACCAGTTGAGTTATATTTTAAGACTGTGTCTAGCTGTGTTTTCTAGGCTGGTCTTGAACTCATGACCCTCCTGCCACAACCTCACTGGAAGCTGGGCTTAGAGGCATAAGCCACTGTAAACAACATGAAGTAGTAATTTTTAGTAAATAATTACACATGCTTCTTTTCTTCTCCAAAATATAGACCTTCCAGTAATTCCAGAAATGTTTAAGAAGTCACAAATTTTAAAAAGTCACATCATTTTAAATATCCAATAAAATATTCACATAATCAAGTTTATCAGTGTGAAAGGAAATTTATTCCCTAAAATTAGATAAGGAAGAGTTACTCTGTTCTTTATGAGAAACGGTGTCTCTATAATCCAATTCTTGTTATTGTTAAAACCCTAGAGAAAATCATTTATGTAATTAGGCAATATTCGGTGATGATGACCTTAGACATCCCATTACATGCTCTGAATGTTTATGATTCATTTGCTAAGTACACCGACATCAATAGTGACTACAACCCTAAACACAGAAGATATATTTCTTTTCATTACCTATGCTTACTCCATCCCCAGCTCAAAGGCAGAAAGAAATAGATGGTTTCAAGATAACATAATTTTTAAGACATAATGGTAAAAGATCACATTGGTTTCAGTTTTTGTGATTGTTTATAGTCAAGTTACAGAAACGTGGTAGTCTGAGGTGAAAATTTAGCCAGTTTTGCAGATTCCATTATCAATTTATAAGGTCAATCCATTCCAATACACAGGAAATTCAGCTAAATGATATCAATGGCAAACTCTTATCTCAATCTGTAGAAACATTAAAAACAATTTCTTAGTCATTTGATCACTGGTAAAATATCAGTTTCAGACTCCTCAAAAGATAAATGGAATGGCTGGATTTGTATCTCATTTTCATTTTGTCACCACCAAACCCCCTACAACTTGCACAGCTGTGAAGCTCAACAGATCCCCTTCCCCAGCCGGTGAACTCAGCCACAACAGTCTCCAGAGGTGAGAGGTTGTCCCACACTGGAAATGACGACCTACTTCCATTCTCAGTGACTAAGACTTGCACATTAGTGACGTGTTATGTCTTCACAAAAGTACAGAAGCAAGCACCGTTTCTTCTGTCCCCTCAGCACAGCCATCCCCTTCGGCTCGGTTTTGATCTGCCACTACATTTTACTTGCCTCCCAAACACACTTCCGCTACAGTGGCCACGCTGACAAACACACACCGTGGCAGCTGCCACTCGGGACGAGGCTTCTCCATCTTGCGGGGCTGGGGGACCACGTCAGCCAGGCCCCTGGGCTGCACACTGGCTCTGGCTCAGCCCTCCCCTTGGCTTGTCAGGGCCAGAACTTTCCTGCTTCTCTCACGACAAGTATTAACCTGACTCCTTTGAAAGGAAGCAGCAAAGTCCTTTAAAGCTGAGCCGGCCCTGGATGCAGGCTGCTACTGCGTTTGTCCAACAAACCTGTCAGTCAGATATTCGCGACAGATATGAAGGAAAACAGCTCAGCAGAAGCCTGTTTAAAAAAAATCTAACTTTAAACCCCGGGGGTAGGAAAAAAGGGCAGGAGGGCAAAGTAGTTGCTTTTAGATGCTAGTGTTAAAATCCGTTTTCAGTAAAAAAGCCAAGAGGATAATCTGCTAAATGTTGTTTAGTAATTAATTTTCATCCTTATTGAAATGAATGTGTTGTTTATCTTTTACCCCCCGCCGCTGAATAAAAGAAGATTTTCCAAGAGCATTTTAAATGAGGGCACCTGTGCTTTGTACATTGCTGTGCTGAAAATTGTTACAAGATAGTTGAGGGAATGAATAAAATATTTCATTGTGTCATCTATTTTCCTAATATTACAGAATGGTCACAATTCACAAAAGGCACAATCTATTCAGGGAGAGAAAGCAGATTCAAGAAAATAACACCAGAATTACTTTTAAAGCAACATGCAAAAAACAAAAAAATGTTTTAGAATTCCTTTTAAAGCACATACTGCAGGTAACAATTCAAGTAGCATAAAGAGAACAGCACTTATAAGATTAAAGGGAAACAAAGTACTTATCTCATTTAATAGAAGAGATGTAATTTATCTCCCCTGCTCCAATCCATTTTACCAACTTGCCAAATCTAACTTTCTAAATTGTTATTTTTCACATGTCAACTTTCTCATTCCAGAGGCATCCACGAAGGTAAAATGAAAACGAACGAGAAATGCGTTCAGAGCTCTCCCTGGTGGACCCCTTATCTCTTGCTCATGTGACCTGGCACCTAACGCAGCCCCTGCTTGCTCCTTGTTCTCCCGTGACTTCTGTGATATAATCCAACACATATTTATGGGGAGTCCACTGTGCACATAAAATTATGCCGCAATTTGCTATATAACAAGGAGTATGTGGTTTTCTTTCAGGTGGTTAATTTTAGTTACATTATTTCGTTGAATTACTTTTTTGAGGTTATGATAAAGTATTGAGTTATAGAACCCTCCTAATTCCAAGTTATTTTGTTGTTTTCTTTCTTAAAAATAAGAATCATGGCAGTAAACATTTCATGTGAAAATTCATATTTTAATTTCATTTTCTGGATTCCTATGGAAGTAACACATAGAGTTATCGACTATATGTGGAAAAATGCACATTCCTGCCTCAAGAAGCCAAAGGATAGCACACCCGTCCTAAATGCACCATGTCTGTGGGTTCTTGGGGGAGGTCACAGTGAG